CCCCTTGCTGGTGGATACTACCCCAAGCCTGGTCCCAGTGGTTAGTCCTGGTCACATGTTCTTCTTGGTACCTTTCATTGGGTTTCTTTGTTGGATTATAGTTTGTCTGGCCTCTCCCCACAGACCTTTTCACCAAGGAATCCCCCACTAGGAGCTCAGTCTCTGAATGATATCATTAAGACATGCAGACCCATCTACCATGCTATGGTCAGAACCCCCCCCCCCCAGGGCCACACCACTTAAATAACTCAAATTTATATATTTATTAACTTTTATATAATTCACTACTGCACTTATCGGGGGGGGGGGTATCTTCTAAACTGCTGCAGTCATTCATAATTCCATTACACATTTATTGAAAAGGCCTTCTGCAATTGCTAATCATTAATAATAAATATCGCCCAATTTGGTGGCATTTGTTGAAATATTATGAACCGATGTTAGTCAGAGTCATGCATATAAAAATGTTAAAATGAATGATTAAAAATTACCTGACTACCTATGGGGCAGACTTATACTAATGTCCCACTCAAAAAAAAAAAGCTAGTTTCCTGTTTGTGCTTTAACAGGAGTAAACTAATTACGCTGCATCTCTCCCGGTTCTTATTATCCTCTGTGGCCCAGAGCAGCAATCAGCTTTGGCAGAGAGACTATTCACATTTCAGATGGCTGTCCTGATAGCTTCTCCTTACATGTGGGCTGAAAATTAAACAGGCATCTGCGGCCCGTGGTGCCCGGCCGGGAAATGAGTCCTGCCCGGTCAGGTGATCTCGTACGCCCTGTGGCAGTGGGCTGCGTGCTATTCGCTTCCCACAAGTGGCCTCTTCTCCATCATCCTTGTCGGACGGGTGAAAAATCCAGAGGCAAGCCATTGTTCTCCAGACGCTGTTGAGTTTTTCTTTTCTTTTTTTCACAGCTCTGACTGAGTCAGGGGATTGTTTGTGCTAATGAAGGGCCTCTGCCCAAATTGCGGCAAACATGATTAAGCATGCCTTAATCATACACCTCTAGGCAACGAAAAAAGAATAAAAAAGGGACAGAGGCTAATATCCCACAACCTCCAAACAGAATTAGAATTAGAAAAATGAAATGTACTCAGATGAAGGGTGTCATGGTGACTCATTGAGTAGCACTGTTGCCTCACTTCTCTAAGGTCAGGGGTTTGAATTCCACTCCTGCTCTGTGCCTGTATCTTCACCCTCTGCACAGGGGTGTCTGTGCCCTGCAATGGACTGGTACTCCAGCCTCGTGCTCTGTGCCGCTTTGGAATGGCACCAGTCCCCTACCACAAAGATAAGCAATTGGAATATGGATGTACTTAGATGAAACGGAAAAATATGAATGAGAATAATGTTAAAGAGGTGTTAACAGCCATTTTAGTTACGCAGCTTTGTAGAATACTATTTCATAAAAATGTACTCCTGTTCTGGTTTATTTTCTCTCCCTCAGTTCTCTCTCGGTCCCATATTTAGACACAAAGGGGAAAAAAGTAAAACTAGAAAAGTAGGTCCTTCATTTGTGTCAAACAGTTTGCTGGGCTCTGCAGCAAATCCCCCCCCACCCACCACCCACCCGATGCTCTCCATACTAATAAAGTGAGATAATGACACAGGAGACCCGAAAACGCCTCATCTTCCTAAGTTATGCCTTTTAATTTGCTAAATAGGGTTACGTTTCCGTGCGATATTCTCTCTGTACGTAGCTCGCCCTTGTAGGAGCCATCAATCACACAAAGACAGACGCTCGGGTGGGCTTGTTTCAAAGATGGGCGCTTTTCAGAGCAAGATGAATGGCCGTTTGCCAGGCACAAGGACACGATGCCATCTGGGGATTATAGTTACAACATTGACCTCCAGGTACCTCTGTGTGAGAAGCATTAAAATACGTACGACAAGAAGCAATTCGCTCTGCAATTACAGTCTGGACCCATATTCTATTCATAAATATAGTATGTACAAATATGCAGAATCAGTGGACAAAATAAAAGAAACACCACATGAAAAATGATTTTTAACTTTGAAGAAAATAAATCAAAAGGGTGAGTCTTAATAGGCTGACTGCCATTTACGTGCAGCATGTGTCAGCAATAAAACGGGTCTATCAGCACTTTGAAGTGTGAGTTTTTCCAAGCAAAATGAGTCAGTACCCCAAACGGAGGTACATCGGTCACAAATACTGCAGAATTATTTAACGTGTGAAGGGGGACGGTCTCATGGATCACGACGGCATTTGCTGAGCGCGGATAAAATGCTTCGGCAATTGTACGTCAAAGCTCGCTGACGGGGATGGCTGGAGACCAGGATAATTGCTAAAGTATGGCCTCACCACAGGATAGACTCAGCACCTCAGTGAGCCAGGAAAATCGTGAGATTACCAAAGCTGGAATTTATGGCAAGACGTCTGTTTGGGAACTGCATATACCCAATTGCCAATGCATACAGACACGTGGCACACAAGAATTCTGGTGGTGCAATGATTTGATGAATGGCTTTTCATTTTTTTGACATTTGAATGGGTTTACATTTGAATGGAAAAAAACAAAAAAAAAAACAAGATGTCTTCAACCATCCAACTGTACTGTGGGAGTTATAAGGTCCAAAAAAAAAAAAGAATTCCTGATTCAATTCAATCTTCATTTGCATAATCCAGTATCGAATCATAAAATCCTAAGATCGATTTTTTTTTTATATGGGCCTTTTACAGTCTATGGCCTTCTCCCATGGGCCTTTTACAGTCTATGGCCTTCTCCCATGGGCCTTTTACAGTCTATGGCCTTCTCCCATGGGCCTTTTATAGTCTATGGCCTTCTCCCATGGGCCTTTTACAGTCTATGGCCTTCTTCCATTGATGTTCGAAGCTTTTACTCGTGTGGCCAGCTTGATGCAACGAGACAAAAAAACAGATAAACAGACACGACAAAAACCAATAAAAAAGGTGGTGGGAGCAGCTTCACTAAAGGGACCGTCAGCTAAAGGCAGATGTCTGGATGTACTTTAGACTTCAGAAATATTAAGACAAAAGAACTGCACAAAAGCAAAGCTGTATGTAAAATGTGCAAAATGGAGGAGAAGTACTGCTGCAATATCCCCAAAACCATTGAAGGAGACATCATCCAGATCTGCAAAACGTCTGATCAGAAACTTATTGGTGACGTAAAATAAAAAGTTCTTTAATGCAGCTGCTTCGGGGTCGATTCTTAATGCTCATATTAATATTTTTAATAATGCACCAGGTGAGAGGGTTCCTTGTACAATTTACAGCATTAGCTCTCTAAGAATTACTTTCCTATTCAAGCAAAATGGATATTGTAAATGAAATATCCCTAATTTGTTTAGTGTAGGGGTAGTGCAGGGTGTTGCCACTGATGTCCTGAATCGATTCAATTCCGATTCACAAGGTTGATTCGATTTCCGAATCAATTCAACACAGAGTGTGAAGCAAAAACCTGAAGTTTTTTTTTTTTAATAAGATCCAACTGCACAAACTTTCCAAGAAGAAGTGAAGCTGTTCTGAAGGCAAAGCACAGCCCTACATCTTATTCGGTCCTTGATAATGATATTTATTAGGTCTTTTAGTTATTTGGTTCACAACCTTAGTATTATACATATTTATAAGACCTTAAAATAATACATATTTAATCCACTCATCTCCCAGTCATCTGTCCAGCACAGGGTAGCGGGGGACAGTAGCCCACCCCAGGCAGCACAGGGTAGCGGGGGACAGTAGCCCACCCCAGGCAGCACAGGGTAGCAGGGGACAGTAGCCCACCCCAGGCAGCACAGGGTAGTAGGGGACAGTAGCCCACCCCAGGCAGCACAGGGTAGTAGGGGACAGTAGCCCACCCCAGGCAGCACAGGACACAAGGCAGGAGATGCCCTGGACTGGACACCCGTCCTTCACAAGATCTAAACATAACAACATATTCAGTTATTTTCGTTTTTGTGTTGGCTGGTGCAGTGTTTAGCACTGTTGCCTCACGAATCGGGGCCCGGGGTTCTCTGTAGGTGTGCGTGTGCCCAGCAGTGGGTTGTGGGAACCTCCCAGGCTGTTCCCTGCCTTACGGCCATAGCTTCCGGTCTAGGCTCCGAACCCCCTACACGGGAAGGTAGAGAAAATGGATGGATTGATGGATGTTTTTATATTTAGAAAAATGCTGCGTAGATGCAGCTGTGACGGATTTGTTGGCTCAGCGTTTGCGGTTGTGGAGACATTTTGCCCGATGCGCCGATTTATGGGTACTAGCAAGGTATTAAAGTAATAAATGGGCTTATAAACCTTTAAAAGATAATTTTATGTTACGTAACACTAGACATTTCATTGTACAGATGACGGTAATAATGTTCGTTACAGCATTTGCTTAAATGCCTTCGGAGCAAGTCAACGTGAGTGCATGCAGTTTCCCCTAATTAAGAATTTGCATATTAAGGCTTTTATAAACCAGAAGATCCCATTTAAAGGGCCAGACTGAGGCAGCCTGCTGTGATGTTTACAAGGCCAGCTGGGCCACTAGGGATCTAGTTAAACTCTGCTTTTGGCACAGCCTCTGAACTTGGAAACATTTTGTGCTGAGTGGCTTAAGCTCAGAACAAATTGGTGGTACCACAGGTCAAACAAGGGAGAGTAAAATTCCATTCCAAGATCATTTCCCCCCCCAGTTAATACTGACTTTTTGATTTCTTAAATTATATTTAGGTTATATTCTCTTTTGCATGTCCCTCTCATTTAAAATTGTACCAAATGAAGATTTTTCCACCCCCCCGTCGCTTAGCTACAGATCAATATTGTTACTCTGGGCTCATTATAAAACAGTTCTTGTTCTACTGCTGTACAGATGCTAATACCCTGTGATTAAGCTGGAGAAGCTGAAAATGTGCCAGAATAGACCGACCCAGAACAGCGTGGTGCCATACCGGACATCCACTACATCCTGTATCAGTCTTTTATAGAATAACTTCCTCCTGTCTTTTCCCCCAATAACAATGCCATTCTTCAGACACAAATGAACTAGTCCCTTGCACAAAATTTACTGGACAAAAATTCACATTACATTTTACAAAGGGGGGAGGGACACAAACCCCACACAAAAGGTTCTGGATATAAAATAAAATAATTTTAAGCTGCCATTTATATAAAAAGTTGGATTACAATGCCTTTGTATACTGAACATAATAATTATGCAAATAGACTGATCTGTAAAAGTAGTTTTAAAAAGAGAGACCAATATGTTTTGGGTTTCATAGAATGTTTAAAGTCAAAATTATTTGCTTCCTTCACATCAAACATTGGTCACAAGTGCAATTATTAACTTAGAGGAAAGAATTTTTGTAGGATGAAGAATTTTAAACTTTGAATTACTAAAATCATTTAATACAGTGCTTCTCAACCCTGTCCTTGGGGACCCCCAAGTAGTCCACGTTTTTGCTCTCTCCCAGCTCCAGGACCAAAAATGTGGACTGTCTGGCGGGGAGCAAAAACGTGTGCTGTCTGGCGGGGAGCAAAAACGTGTGCTGTCTGGCGGGGAGCAAAAACGTGTGCTGTCTGGCGGGGAGCAAAAACGTGTGCTGTCTGGGGCTCGCCAAGGACTGGGCTGAGTAACACGGATTTGGTATATTTTTGTCAGTGCTGTTAAGACATATATTTTGGTTACTGAGAACTTCTTAAGTAAAAAAAAATGGAACCACAAACAACACATTTACATTTACACAGAGTGTTATGTCTGAACAAAAGAAATTTACCTCATATGTGAAAAGCTGGATTATCATTAAACACCTTTAGGACAGGCTGTAGGTTTTTCTGTACATAAAACATTTATCCATGCTGACTAGAACAGTAAGTTATGGATTTAGACAGTACAAGCACAGCTGTCCTCACATTCCATTAGACATCACAATACAACTTGCCAACCTCGATCACAGCTTAACACGTTTCTCAGAAATACGCTACTCTTCCAGCAAGATCATTCCTTTACAAGGTTAAGTGCAGACGACACCGCATGAGAAGACGAGACACACAATCATTAAAAACGGCACCTAAAATACGAAAGTGACTGGCATGTTCTACACCTAAATACTGTATATATCAATGAACTGCACAAATAATATAAGGACAAGAGACCGAATCACTGTCAGCATTACATTACAGATGATGACCCTAGACCTTCAAAATTTAAAGGTGTTCTTTTATATGGATTAATGTTCCGTACACCAATATCCGCATACAGCAATCCCTTAGACCACTGTTCCTCTAATTTGGCGTGATGGCATCCCTCAGGGTGGAGTGGTCATTGCACAGATTACTCCTTAATGGGGTCTAGGTAACAACTGTCACACTGCCTGGTAGTAAAGACTCAAGCCAATCACTACTGTGACAAAAGCATAGATATCTCACACTTACACCAGCTTAAGAGCTGTCATCCTAGTGCGCCAGCCTGCCTTCTGGATTTGCTGCATAAAAACCCGGTAGCACTTAATTGTAATTATCACACTAAATTAACACCAGCACCAAATGCTCCACTTCTCCAAGTTAGATTAGCCAGAAGTAAGACTGCTTACACCACATTTACACCAAGCTCCCCTTCTGTAAACACAAAAAGCATAATTAGAAAACAAAAAACTTCAATAATCCATGCATCATAGGTCAATTTGGCACCTTTTGATCAATGTAACTTAATTTTACACACACATCCTGAAATTCCTTCATTTAGCTACACTACATCATATGAACGCAAATACTTTTACAGCTTTCCTAAAAGGAAAATGTTTGTGCTTACATCACATGTAAATATGCCTTATTTTATTTTTGTTTGTTTCAAAAGCCAGGGACGTTTTCTCTCCATCATCATTCGTCTTGCTTCCTTTTGGGTTTCTTGGGGTTCCTGGAACGACTTTTGGCCTTGCAGAGCGGACATATTGGTGCATTACGGTGAATTTGCTGATGACACGAAAGGCAGGCCTGGGGGGGAGGAGGGAGGACATAAAAAATTTGTGTTTCCTTCATTCATCTTCTAAACCGCTTATCTTAGTTGAAATCTGATACATCTGAAATCTTTTTCCAGTTAAATAAATAAAACTGTCAGGAAGATACAACTTTAAACAAGCAACAACTTTAGGCAAAAAACATTGTCTTTGACAGACACGTGTACAATTTTAAAAAGCACATGCATTTTCAGATGTCCAGGCAACGCACTGCTTTACAGTGGGGAGTTGCTGCGCGCACTGCGTTTCACTGCTCTTAATGAAAGCGCCTGAAAAGAAGGCACCCTGCTGGGGCATTTTAATAACCCGCAGTTAATTTCTCCTCATTACACAGGAAAATCAGCGGCCCGCATATGTCGAGATGCTGGGATTCTCCCCAAGCACGACAGACTCCAAAATATAGTATAAAAAAAAACACAAATAAACAAAGAGCAACAAACTGCACCTAACGTGCAAAGTATGTTGCAATGGCAAGGGAAAACTTCCATGTGTTTTAGTCATTTATGTAATGAGCACCACTGCTCAAACAAGTTCTCATCATAAATCAGTCTGTTGGCAAGTTAGCAAAGTCATAAAAATACATAATGTATAGCTACCACCTGAAAAATGTATGTAGCAGGTCAAGCTTGAAGGTTATTCAACAGCTGCTAATTATAAGGTATAAGTGAACTGCAAAATAAATTGGTGATCCTTCGCACACTCGTAGTAAATATCCATCACAGCTGTCACATGCTGTGTGTTTACCTTGGAAGAATATCTGTGGGAGTGACTTGTCAGTCAGTGCTGTCATCCTCTGATGCCGTTATTTACTGATCCCTTTGTCAGTTATTATCTGACAGCAGCATGGGAGACGTGAATAAGTGCCTCATCGCACTGACTATATGCGACAATAAAATCTCAAGCCTGAAACCAGCACAACACGAAATACTAGCAGATAAAATTAAAGCCTGTGACTAAAACTGAAAAACTCTTGTGCTCTTTCACGCGGCCGCCGACTGGGGGGAGGTGTCATTTCTTCAAGTGGCACTTGATTTTCACTGCACGTCGGCAACAAATCCTGCGAATGGGTGTGGACGCGGCGTCACACCTGGGGCCCTCTTACCTTCATGGGTGGGGGCTGCTGCCGGAAAGCGGCAGTCTGGCGGGAGTCCTGCTTCCGGGAGACCTGGAGCTGCTGAGCAGCTGCGGCCGCCGCCGCAAGGGATTCTGGGATGGAAGGCTCTTGCTGCTCTACTTGCCACTCTGCCTTTTGCTTCTCGAAGTAGCTACACGCATCAAATTTTCACATTGTTAGTTTTACGGTGATATCCATGTTTTGAAGCCGAAAGTCTAACAAGATAAGGAAATTAAATCTTTATGAATTTAAATTTTAAGATATGCAGACTTAATTCATCAGATTAGGACTATAAATGTGCTCTCTGCATGTTCTACAAAACATAGTAGCAGAATTTAAGTGAAAATACAGCAACTAGACTTTTTCTGAGGAGTTAAAACAAATATACTCAAACACTAAGTGGATAAGTGTACCTTGACCCAACATCCAATGACACTGAATGTATAACTTAACTCTGACCTTAAGTATACACCACTGATATTCTCTGGTTTAAGCGTGAACTTCTAATTAAGCCAAAAATGGTCAATAGTTAAGTATAACAGTAGTTACTCAGTAGCCAAGACATGACAAAATGAATATACATATAATCTAAGCACACATGGCAGAAACTGGCAGAAATTCTAGTATTTGTAAAGTGGAAACATGTCCCGGCCCACGTCTCCCAAGGAGGAACACAAGGTTGAGATATGGTAAGATGACAGTAAAGTGTCAGAGGGATCAGAACTCACTCGAGGGAGAGCTTCTCCTCCTCGTCGCTCAGGTTGGGGAGCCTCTGCAGGCCCAGGCCCACCCTCATAGCATCCACGTGCTCCTTCAGGGGCTTGTACTCCTCGTGGAGGCGTCGTGTCGTCTCCAGCAGCTTGTTCAGGTCGTTCTCCGACTGCTTGATCGTGTTTTCCATCTACGGGCACAGAGACAGACTTCTTACAGCACTTGTGTATATTTTTGATTTTGGGTCCCTAGCACATTTATTGCCACTCAAAGCGATGTACATTATGTAGAAGTTTTAACATTTTAGATGGACAAAAGCCTTCATAGAAACGAGTGCAATAAACAGGACTTACATTAATTTGAACAGAAATATATAACAAATGAGGTAGCCGAATTTTAGGCATTGACATAACATGTCAAATGACATAAACAAAGACATAAATGCATGCAAAATTTATTGTAACTGAAATAAAAAAAACTGAATTTGTTTTGGCTGTCCATTCATCCATTCATCCATCCATCCATCACATTTGGCAAAACCAGCAGAAATCAAAATTTTATACAGGGCCTGTAACGCTTGCTCCCTAAATAATAATAATAATAATAATAATAATAATAATAATAATAATAATAATAATAATTATTATGATAAAAGGTGACTTTTACTTGTACTCTAAATTAGCTGCTGTGGCAGCTGTAGTTTTTCCACTTGAAGTTCCTGCTTACAATGGCAGAAAACATTCCCCTGTGAGCAATTTAGGAATGGTTGTTTGTCAACACAGGTCATTACAAAACAAATGAAGATATTATAAATAATATTGTGCAGTACTCCAATGGATCTGGTAACCAAGCCAGTTAAAAGCATAGACATCCTCATACATTTTTAAATCCCAAAATTTGAAAGATCAGTCTTCTGGTTATAGCTCCCAATCCTCATCAATCTGAGAAATATTGGTTCATGTCAATGCAGATTAAAGAAATGAACAATCCTAAAGAATTTTCTCAGAAGCGGGCAATTCTTTCCAACTCTCCCTCAAAAATAAATTTCAAATGGAAACATTTTCTTCTGCAAACAAGAACATCTAGCATTAGTTCTGACTGGTTAACCAATGTGGATGGGGGAAATTTGATACGGTGTAACTCTGTAGGGCTTACGCAAATTCTCCTCATCATAATGATTTAAAAAATTATTAAAGTTTCATGGCAATCAGTTAAATAAGGTATGAGTTACTGTCATTTTGTAATCATATTTTTATTGCTTGTTATAGTGCCATCTAATGGCTTGTTGAAGTAAAGATTTGCATAGTTTGTTAATTAAATTTGGGATTAGGCTACATTCTGACCTTCTGTTGTTTTATCTGGTACAGAGGTTTTGGTAATCCCAAAAACCGACAGAAGAATCAGAATAAAGAGCAACACAGTACTTCTCAATACGGCCAAAAATGGAAATAAAGTTGTCTTTTACTGTTAAAGATGCGAGCAGTAGCTAAATTTAAGCAGTATCAATAAAGCTTTATTTTGACACTGATCATAGGGCACATGCAAATCAGTGCTGGTGGACATCATCACACACCACATTGATGTCAGCGTGGATCAGTCGCAGCTCTTCTACGTGTGCCATCTTCTCCTGCAGCAGAAGATCCATCTCCTGCTTGTATTCCTTCAGATGCTTCTCCTCTGATTCCAAGGCCTCAAACTCACTCTTCAGGCGTGATTTTATTCTCTCCATCTGGATGGTCTTATTTCTGAGACACAAAATGTGTGCGACAGATCAAACACGTGCTGTATGCTACTCAGAGAGACAATCAGTCTGCTCTTTCTGTCTTGTTTGCACACATGTCATGCATCCACTACTGAACAGTGCCAATTTTACAATGTGAAGACATACATCATATTATATACAGCACTGATATGTATATAATATACTACAGCACTAAATACTATACTACAATACTAAATACTTCTACACAGTTTTACTTCAAATTATTAAACTTGCATCTGTTTTAGAGCTAAGATTTTTAAACCTTTGAACATCTAATTTTAAAGAGCACAACTTACAGACCTAGCTACAGCTCAAACACAATGGTAGCCTTATAATCTACTAGTCATTTTTGATACCAATTTCTTTTACTTTGACATTTACATAAACGTAATAGAGTAAAAATAATTTTAAGACAATTTCTGCCGGCTCCAAGTATTAATTACCCATTTTAGATTTTTTTAATTGCTACAAAAACTACACATCCATAGATAATTTTAAATATTTCGGTGAAAAAAATGTTGAAACTAGATTTTCCTCACAATACACATTTTACTTAACTATTCAGCCCAAATTCAAACAAAGCTACACAATTTTAGACCCTGGTTAACTCCCTTACAATTGAAAAGGAAATTAGTTACAGGTAAAGCAATAATCCATCCAAATTCACCGTATAATGTCTTCTTTATCCCCCATGCTACTTCCTTTGCCCCCTGGGGTGCTAATTTTCAGGCATTAACTGACAATGGATTACATGCTATTGCTTCTTTCACCCAAGGTAACGTGCCTGTCCTATTGTTAGGGCGCCGCAGTGGAGACAGAAAAATGTGGGCGTTTTTCCACCCCATATTAAAACAAAATTGAGGCGAAGCACATATGTAATGTATATTGCCTTTTCTTAATTTGTCCACATCACCCAGCTAAATACCTGTTAATATATGATTAATTTACAGGGGGGTTTTTTTAGAAGCCAGCCAGCACACAGCTTTCTGAATGCGCCGTCATTGCGATATAAAGTGCTTTGTTCAGTTCCGGAGACTATTCAATTGAGCCACTGTATAACTATTAAAAAATAATTATTTTAAGATAATCCAATCAGACACCCTACCGGTACCCTTGCTACTAAAGAGATAAATTATACATTCAACACGTGCATGATGCCCTCAAACAGTTACGATTAAGTATTGAAAACAAGCAAGCTTCTACTCAAAGACAGAAAGTAACCAACGCACAGGTACTCAACTCGAATAATAAAACCCAGTACTCGCTTACAGAGCAAACTGGCACTAACAGATGCCGGGAACCTCTAACACGTCGGCTGAGGAAAGATCTACATACTACCAGTTATATACTAGCCAGACAAAGAGACAATACTAGAAATGGCCAGTTAAGCATGCATATTACCTTATCTCCTTAATATTTTCTAATTTGCACATGATCTCCTGTTCATCTGCCATGATTGCCTAAGTAGCTCCCAATCACGCAACCGACCGATGGGCTATGCCGCTGCAAACGCCAGAAAAACAAAGATGTAACACATGAGCGCAGCTTTGTGAGCATGTGCTGACTTCTTACTCGCTGGATCCCACACTATAAATTTAACATAGTGGCGCCACCTATCTTCTGGAAAGCGAAATGCATACATATTTGGTTGTAGTGTACGGTATTAAGATAAAATATATGGTTTATGATTACATAAACTGCATTTCTATATAGAGGTCATGTTACAGTGATTTTGTAACATGCCATAATGTCTACACACATTCGCTTGTAAAGTTAAACAGCTAAATTAAAGTTCAGCATAACTTTTAACAGTAATTATAATTGGCAATGCAACAATACATTTTTAAATATTGCGGCTACTCCAGCTCGCTAATGCATCTCAGTTTAATTTACTAGCCACATTTACTATGGTCACAGATACATTACAGTTTTATTAAAAATTAATGCTACTACTTAGGAATTCTTTGATTTCCAGATACCCCTTCTTACTCTCCTGTGAGACACACAGATAGTAAGAGCGAAGCTTGGGGTCAGGGATATGGTTACTCTGCCTGAAATGGGATTCCTCAAACTGGAATCATTCTGGACGCAGACCAAGACCTGTGAGAGCGGCACACTGCTCCATAACATCAATAATATCAATTGGCATCAGTTAACATCAACTGACAATATAGATGTGTCTTAATATTAGGAAAAGCCTTTCCGTTATTTTAACCCAGCAGTTTAAACTATTGCATGCATTTTTTTGATATTTTATGTAAGTTTAATTTTGGAATATGGCAGCAGTATCCAGAGAGTCCAGGTATAGGATGGGTATGGAAATTGGTAACAATGGGGTTTAGTCCGAGTTGGAGCATTATCAAGTTAAGGAGTATAAAGAAGATTTCAAGATACAGTTCTGTGTGCGTATGTGCGTATTCAATTGTTTTTGGAGTGCTTCCATTTGAAGCAGAATAATGGATGTGGCACAATATCACAAAATGCCTCAGAATCCTCTACATTTTTATTTAAAATAAGTAAATAAATAAATGTATTATCGTTAAAGTCCATTACTGTTGTTCCCAGCTCTGTTATAGTGCTCCCTCGTTTTATCGTGGTTTTGTAGCCAATGACCATGCATTTTTTTAGACTGTATTTCTATAGAACTAACCTTGATGTCACATCAGTCAACAGAGGCTGCCTTAAAATTCGAAAGTTTAGAAAATACTTGAAATTTGTAACGTGTGTATTTGTAGTAATATTTTCAGAAACAATTTCAAATGTGGAAATTTTGTTTAGAAGTGAATAGGGTCAAATCAATAGTCCAATCAAATCTAATAAAAGGTAATAGGCTGTTATGATCGAGATTCCTACGAGTAGGACAGTCTTAAAATAACGACAGAAGTCATTACAGTCAATGTCGCATACTGTGACTTATCCTTGGTCTACGGGAATGTCATGCTCGCACTGTTATTTACTATCCCAACATTTCATGAGGCGACGAGCGCATTACTGCACAAATTTCCACAGAAGCGTGACATTCACTTAATGTAATGTGATGGGAAGTAATTACAAGGGCTTTCGCGTTAGATAATAAAACTAAAAATAATTTTGATATGCATTGCGTGAATAGATTACATTATAAACACAAGATCATATTACTATCATGATATTCTTCCATATATATTATACATATTTATCAATAATACACCGTTTGTTTTGGAGGAAAAAAGTGTGATTTGTTTTCTCTGCCATAATGGCCGTATTTGATGTCCCCGAATCGGCGACAGGGGGCGGCAAACCTGTTGCTAAGAGACAGTCTGTGGGAGGCTGGATGATGGAGGAAAAGGGATGCTGTGGATGTTTTCCCCCTATAATGATGTTTCGAACAAATAAAATATTTCGCTTTTAAAGCGTCTGGCCATTTCAACAAGAGAGACCCCCCAGCTATGCTGTGTATAAAATCTGCCTTCATTCAGGAGGCACTTTAATATATATATTTATGTATTTTTTTTTATTTAAATTGATTTGGAGCTGGCAGCGCCGCGGGAGCAGGCCGCTTCGCCAAGCCGCTCCAAGCCGTATATAGAGTAAGTTTTCCGGGTGGGGGTCAACCTTGGTTCCGCTGAGTCAAACTGCGGCAACGCCAGCATCACGGCGAGTACCGAGGAGGCCGGGGAAGGGGACCGCGTAGAGGCTAAAGTAAGAACTTTTACGCTACCTTTTTTAAGTTATCGATACCCTAGTCGTGCGGCTAAACCAGCCCTGCAAGGTGGCTAACTATTGCGTTGAAGGGTATTGGGGGAGAGAAATTGGTAAGGAGCTGGCTAGCAGATTTATTAATACTAGCATGTTGCTGCTAGTTATGCTACCGTCACGCCATCCGCTTCTTCACGGGGTTACTTTCGTTTAACGAGCCCGCAATTTATCTGCGTTTGGTCCGGTAGCCTGCGGCGGAGTTAGCCGGAGACGTGTCACGACCGAAAGCCCCGACTAGGCTAACTGGACCTGGCGTCCGTCCGTTAAGCTGACATGTTAGCCGACGCTTATCCGGGGCTAGCTAGCAGGTTTAGCCGGGCAGCTAACTATCCGCTAGCGAAGGATGGACAGCCCTTACCGCGCTAGCGAGCTCGCTAGCGGGCAAACCGGCTGCCGAATTCCGTGCAAATGCTTTGCTCGGTCGTCAAATTGGTTGCAAGGCAGCGTGTACTGATAACAGCTAAATGTCATTAAATGTCGGCGTAATGATGTCAGTAAAAAAATAAAAAAAAATAAAAAAACTCAGAAAAATACGAAACGTGAAAATGCAAACATTTTGCCTCAGCTATTAAATATCTACCTAATCGATGACGTAATTTAACATGTTTGTACCTAGCTAGCTAGCTGCCTGGATTCTTTAATCTAAGGACAAATTAGGTGTTGTGTCTTTTAAGTACCCGTTATCGTTTTATACACTGTGCAAGGGATGCCTTAGTGGCTGTCAGATCTGTTCATTACAGACGGGGGTTGCACAAATATTGGATTATGTGAGAAGCGGCTAAGCCCCTGTACGTTATGTTTTGTATGACAACGCAAAAAAAAAAATGTATCCTCCAAGCGACGAGTAGGTGTGGGATGTTGCATGTAGCTAGCTTTAGTTCTGTAAGGCGAGGCTGTTAGCTAACCTGCGAAGGTTATTGATAACGCTAAATTATTATTGTTTTAACCAATTTTATATCCGTATGAATGCAATATGAACATAGAAGAACAGATCCCAGGAATACGTTCATTACGTGATTGCTTTGAGAATATCAATTAATATAAATGTGCACATGTTTAAATACATATATGTTATTTATATGTGTGTGTGTTCTTGAATAACAGCTTTTGCATAATAGGGTATTCAGTATTGCAAGTTAGAAGAAGCACTCTGTCGGCTCATTGCCAAAAGACTGGATAATATGACATTTATCAGTAGCCTGAGTTAGCTGGACTTTTATATAAAGTGTGGTTGTTAAGTTTTGCTTCTGGCAGTTTTGTTTTGTTATATTCAGAGTGGGAGTTACATGTAGGGATGCTACAGGTTATGCCACTCTCACACCAGGTGCTTCAGAAGGCCAAAGGGGAAAAAAATACTCCTTTAGCAGCATGCATCCTGTTACAGATATGGGCCTGTGCTTCACTTGTTGCTATGAGACAGGCTGTGCAAGCCTGCACAGGTCTGTCCATCTGCTGAGGGCACCGTAGCATGGTAGCCGTGCTGGGCTTCCGTCAGTGAGGTGGAGGAGGAGGGGCGGAGGCGGCGGCCTTCACTCCAATCTGCTGTATTCTTCTGTGCTTTTCACAATCGGAGGAAATTCCAGCCTGCAGTTTCCAGTGAAGAGGATGGCTTCCTGTGAAGGCTTTTGTGAGCCCACGTCTTTTGTTTTATGCTTGCAGCGTGAGCTGGAGTGGAAGGTTCTGTATGTCAGAAACTGTAACACTGTGGTCTTTTCTGCAGCTGCTGTATATCTGCTACTTTTTCTTTTTTTTTTTTTTGCTGTTGTATCAAGTAGCTGTGCTGTCACCGAAATCTCAAATGTGGGCTGGCGCCTTCAAGGGATGCTCTGTATCCAGGGAAAATTGCATATAGAGGAATATATATGAAGTAGTGTAGAATACCAGTTTAAAATGTTACATTTATATAGCTTTGTTATGTTATGGTTATAAATTACATAATACTAGGGCACCGTGTATTGTGTTTTGAAACTGTCCATACATTTTAAACATTTAAAATGTATCGCATAGTGTTTTGCTAAATAAAAATACATTTATTTGAACCATAGTTCTAGTTATCTAATTATAAATGATACATGTAAGAGTTAATCTTTGTTTTGCCTTTTCGATGAAATTCTGCCTGTCCCATGGCATATTATCAATGATCATTATCATTATTATCTGTATATGTATTTAAAAATATACTAAGATACATAACAGAGATCGGGCAGGTGTTCACGGCCAACAGCAGTGAATTGCTAAATTCTTGGGAGCCCAAGGTAGCCTGAAAAACAAGAAGTGTAATGGTTTGCTTACTTTAACGTCCAAAGACTGTGTTTACATCAATTAAATACTCATTTAGTTAGGAGTAATATGTTACTTGAAACTGCTGGGTGATTCTATCATTCTGATGTGTTTGTTGTCTTTTAGGAATATTTTGTCTTCGGCTTAACCGGAGCACCAGAAGAGGGGATTTTTAAGTTGTGCTTTGCACATACGGCTGCTTGAGCTTAAATCGGCCATCAAGTATGTCTCCCAGGTTGTGGTGGAGGTGAGCTCACGCTGGAGGTCTCCGGTGGGAAGCACAATGTTATGACAGCTTGGTCCATGGTGGAGAAGCCGAATATGGAGAAACGGTCCTCCGGGGCAGAAGCGAGCCCACCGAAGGAGGCCCTGGATGGCAGCGGGGATTCGGAGGAGGGTTCCAGCTCAGAAAGCGAGGCGGACCAGGTGAGAAGCAGCAGCCAGAAGAAGGAGACCTTAATATCTACCAAACCCCACCGGCAGCTCTGCCGCTCGCCATGCTTAGATCGCCCAAGTTTTTCCCAGAGCAGCATCTTGCAGGACCTTTGCAGCGATGACTCCAGGCTCAACACCAGCAAGCCCAGCACCGACAAGGGCTACCAGGCCAAGATGGACTTTGCCCTGAAGCTCGGCTACTCTGGAGAGCAGGTGGAAGCAGTGCTGAGCAAACTGGGGGCCAGCGCCCTGATTAATGACATCCTAGCGGAGCTGGTGAGACTTGGCAACAAGGGTGACATGGAGACTCAGGCCAGCAGCTGCACAAGCACCTGCAGCAGCAGCAGCAACGCTGGGGCGCTGACACCTCGCAACACCTGCCCTAAGGAGATCACCAGCCCTGAAGTATCATTAGAAGATGACTCTGTGGACAATGTAGACAACCTTCGGCCCATTGTCATAGATGGCTCGAATGTGGCGATGAGGTAAGCATCCCAGAAACCGAAAGGATCTCCGATTTGTAAATGCAAGTGGACCAGCACTGTTCTGAACTTACACGATCAAGGCCTGTTTGTCACCAGTAAACATTTATTTGTTTGTTTATTTATTTCATTACTTGTAGCCATGGAAACAAAGAGGTGTTCTCCTGCCGTGGCATCCAGTTGGCAGTGGATTGGTTTTTGGAGAAAGGACACAGTGACATCACAGTGTTTGTTCCAGCCTGGAGAAAAGAGCAGTCCAGACCTGATGCCCCTATAACTGGTATGTGTGGTACACATTACCTTTCATATGATGGGACCATTTGGGTCCGTTGTGAATAGTGACATGACATCACTTTTTTATGCCTAGCTTGTAGAGGGCTTATTTGCAGAACCAGAATTTTGGAGAGTAGGAGGAGTTTAAAATGTTTGGACCATGTTTGCCAGATTTCCAACATGACTTGCCTTGTCATGTAATACTGTGTTTTACTATGATTCCACTGCAAGATCAAGAAATCTTGAGGAAACTTGAGAAGGAGAAGATCCTAGTGTTCACACCATCAAGGAGGGTCCAGGGAAGGAGGGTGGTCTGCTATGATGATCGGTTCATAGTCAAGCTGGCATATGACTCAGACGGCATCATCGTTTCCAATGACAACTACCGGGACCTTCAGAACGAGAAACCGGAGTGGAAGAAATTCATAGAAGAACGTCTCCTCATGTATTCTTTCGTAAATGACAAGTAGGTTAATAATATTATTCAGATATTTCACGTGATGTTTTAGCTTGAATTTATTGTTAGGCTCAGATATATTAAAAAAAATTTTTTTTACATATTAAACAATGTTTTAGCTTAGTTAAAAAGCAGTTTTTAGAATTGAAACCATACATTTTAATTGGTCTAGCACATGTCATCCCAAGGATGCAGTTTTCCAACAAGAAGCACTAATTTAGCTTGAAACTTATGAGTTTATGTAATCCGGCTGCCCAGCATCTGTAATTCAAACGCTGAGGCTTTTTTTAGATTAATTTTAATATCAAATTTAATTGCTCTAGCCTGAACCTTGTCTGACACGTAGAATTATTTATATGAGTGTTGAAAATTCTGTCTTGTAGGTTCATGCCACCAGATGACCCTTTGGGGAGACACGGTCCCAGTCTGGAGAACTTTCTTAGGAAACGGCCTGTCATCCCAGAGCACAAAAAGCAGCCGTGCCCATATGGTGAGTTAGTTACGCTAGTAGTAGGCCATCTGCAGCATTGCAACATCACAGTAATATCCACATTTCACGGTTATTAATCTATTTACTAACACCTCATAACTACTTCTAAGTTGGTTGTCGTATCGATCGGTTTTACAGGAAAGAAATGTACTTATGGACACAAATGCAAGTACTACCACCCCGAACGGGCGAACCAGCCGCAGAGATCGGTGGCAGATGAGCTCCGTGCGTTCGCCAAGCTGACGGCTGTGAAGACGATGAGTGAGGGCGCCCTGGTGAAGTGCGGGGCAGGCCCCGGGGCCTCAAAAGCCGAGAGCGGCTCGGAAGCCAAGCGCGTGGCCCCGAAGCGCCAGTCGGACCCCAGCATCCGCTCTGTGGCTTGCGAGCCGGAGGAGAGGCTGTCCGTCGCCCGGAAGTCCGAGGCCAACTCTGTGCCTTCCCTCGTCTCGGCCCTTAGCGTGCCAACCATGCAGCCCGCAAAAAGCCATGCGGCCGGCGCCTTGAACACGCGCTCGGCCAGCAGCCCCGTGCCCGGCTCCTCACAGTTCTCCGGCAGCTCGCTGGAACACATGTCCAGCGTGCAGTACCCGCCCATCCTGGTCACCAACAGCCACGGGGCCTCGGTTAGTTACAGTGAACCCTTCCCCAAGTATGATTCGGTGGGCGATCACGGCTACTACTCCATGATGAGCGACTTCTCCAGCATGAGTTTGGGCAGCATGCACAACACCGACAGTTTCTACAGCATGGAGCACGATATGGGCATTTACCCGAAAAACCACTCCAACTGTGAGTCGTTCTCCTCCTACGGCGAGCCGTACATGGGCTCCGTCGACGGTGGCATGGAGGATAGCGTGAAGGGCCACCCGTCCTCGTCCCAGAGCCGACTGCAACCCTTCGCTCATGGATACAGCCACGAGGCCTTGACCAGGGTGCAGAGCTATGGGCAGGAGGAGCCTAAGCAGCCCCCCCGGAAGCAGTCCCACCTAGCCCCCCACGCGCAGCATGCTGTGGTAGGCGCCCGCTCCAGCTGCCCTGGGGACTACCCCGTACCTCAGAACCTCCACCCCTCATCGTCCTCTCAGGCCGGGCGCTCCCTGGGCATGACCCGCATGGACAGCATCTCCGACTCTCGCTTGTACGAGAGCAACCCCATGAGACTTAGGAGGCCGCCTCTGTGCCGGGAGCAGCACGCCAGCTGGGACCCCTTACCCTGCGGGTCTGAATCCTGTGCATACCAGCCGTACCCACTGAGCAATAGCCTGATGCAGCCATGCTGCGAACGGGTGATGGTGCGCAGCATGCCCGACAGGATGGAGCAGATCTGGCGTTCCCCTTGGGAGGGCCTGCCGACCGAGCACCCGGAGAGGCAGGTCATCCCCGAGCATCAGTACCAGACTTACCGCAACCTCTGCAACATCTTCCCCGCCTACATCGTTCACTCCGTCATGGAGAAAAATCCCCACCTAACTGACCCACAGGAGCTCGCTGCTGTTATAGTTAGCCACCTGAGGTCAGAACGCTAGCCACTTCAGTTATGGGAAGGGTTGGGGGGGCTATGATATATATGATATACATATATATATATTTTGTGGACAGTACCACTGTTTTGAAACACATAATGCACAAAGTACAATATATGTTGTATAGATGTGTGTCGACACAAGCACTTCTGTAAATATTTTTTGATTAACCAGTATTTCTTTGTGAGATGAATAAAGACAAAGTTCCGATTGGATCCTAAGGAAGTGCATACCTCAGTGCATGGAACTTCAACTTATATGGCCTTATATTTAAATGACCTCACTGCAGTTATTGTTGACAGCTATTCATTTTGAGTTTTCCTGTTGTCCGAGAGGTCTCCTCCTCTTCTTCATACAGTATCGAGCGCTTTCTGTTTTCCGCAGCTATTTTCCCGGTAGGTTTTCACCATTACTTTCCGCGCCGATTTTCACAAAAGCTATGAACATGAAGCCAAACAGGAACACGGAATACGTTTGCCTTTTGGCAGAAGTGATACGTAGTCACCCTGTATACAAGAAGGTTCAAGTAGCCATGGTTAATAAGTATTTTGAAGCTGCTGAATTAATGCCAAAAAGATAATCAACCGTGTCGCATTAAGGCACAAAAATTATGTTTTTGATGTCGGTATTGGCTGATTTTTTTCTTTCTTTTTCTTTTAAATGATGAAATAGACTATAGTATTGCTTAGGTGTATATATGACACTGTCAAGTGCAGTTACGACAGCAGTGTGTAATAAACTATTTTTATCTGTATCGTTTCAACATTTGAAAAATCGCGTGAAGGTGCGCGCTGCTTTCCCTGGGTCTCCGTTTTGTGTGGCGGAAACAGGCGCATAATCTGGGAGCCTTCAAAGAACTGCACTTTGAGTGATTTATTTTCCTTACAAGTTCTTATTGAGGGGGGTCTGTTGCTTGTCAGCAAAATGCCTTAATAGGGCATTTCTTTTTTAAATTGCTGAAACAGGAACAATTGTCCCCCTTGGAACTTATTTAAACTTTGCCTGTTAATGGCCTGATGGAGTCTGAGTCCAGGCATGTAGTTGTCGTGTTTTTTTCCCTTTCTTCTCTTCTTCTTCATGAAATGGGTGAAACGGCCGCTTACGGCCCGTGGTTTCTTCGTGAGAAGGCGTGACACCACCTAAATGTTTCTTCATGTGAAACACGCAGAACGTGAGGCTCCTGTCAGGGTTGTTTCTGGCATTTGGCTAATGGCTTGTGCGCTGCTGTTCTTTTTTTTGTTAATTTTGTTAAATATCTTTTCTTTCTGCTCTTGCCCTCTTCTTTTTCAGACAAAAGGTCTGTTCAGTCTCATTAAGAAAAGAGAATATAGTCAAACTGTTGAAACCTACTCTGAAAGGTAAAAGATTGTATGTAAATTGCAGCCTCCATGAACAGCTTGTATCTAATGACATCACTTTACCTTTTTCGTGCAATACTACTGTAAAGTTACAGTAAATTTACAGTGTTTCTTAAAACGTGTAGCTCGGTATTCTATTGCTGCAACTGCATGTTCTTTACATTGTGAATAGCCTATTTAATAACATTCTATTTTTTTTTTCTTCCTAGTATGTTTTATGGTCCTTAAACGCAGCAAACAGCAAAGCCTCAAATGTCTAGAAACGACCTTTGTTTGTTGATACAAATTGTATCTATTTCTTGATTGTACAAAATATTTATGAAATGTATAATGTCATCTACGGAATATCTTTATCTGAACACGGAAGAAAAAAAAACTTGCAACAATTTTTGTGACACTGTGTGTCACTGGGAGTAGCCCAAGGGTATGTACTTTTTCTTACTGGGCACAGTAGTTTATAGACAGAAACTCTTTATAATCTGCTACACGTGCACAGAACTTGTGTGCACCGCTGCTGGCATTATTCTCATTGTATATTTGATTAAAAAAAGAATAATAATAATAATACAACCTAAGCTGTAAAGTAACCGTACAAATGTGTGGTTGATGTGTCCTTGCGATGTCAGTGTGGTAACCTAACGAGGGCTGTCAGGAAGTGTTTTCCTACTCCGCCCCCCACCCCTTCTCAGTTTCATCAAGTTTCTAAAATCAGCGTAACCTTATTTTTTCGCAAGGTATTCTATGAATGGTTGAGATAACGGCAAAGCATTCGGGTTACCACACTATTTTAAGAGAGAAGTTAATGTGAAGTTACTATTTTGTTTCCTTATTTGAGCTGGCCGCTCCTGTGGCACATGTACTCGCCTTAAGTATTGTCAAATGAGTGAAAGCCTTTAGGATTTAATTTATATACTGTAAGATGTCATAATCAGTGTTTGTGAACTGGTTAATGGAAAGCCTTTGTTGTTTGTAAAAAAAAAAAAAAAAAAAAAAAAATCGTTTGAGTGTATACTGTTTTGCAATATTGGTAAATTGATCTTTATTTAATTGTTCTAAAATGTAAAAAAATGTTATTTAGCTACTAAGAGCATGCCATGATGACTAATCTATTTTAACCTAAAACAGCTGTTAATCTGTTTGATGGGGACTCCTACCATAGTAGTGTCATTTTTAAACTATTTTCAATGTTTTACTTCAATACACATCGTCAGTTCACCGTTAACAAAGTACCATTATGTTTTCCGAATTGATCGATTGTAGATGTACAGCCCCCAATTCTCAGGTAATACTCGGATTTGTAAAGACATGTATGACATTCACCCACTGCACTATTGACGTTTGCTGTATTGAAAATCAATGAAAATAATTTTAGATTTGTGAATCTTGGTACAAATCTGTCACATGTCATGTGTTTCCAGATGTCTTCTACTTTTGCTTATTATGCAGTTAAAGGTCATAAGAGTGAATTGATTATAATTTAGTCTTGTGTGATGAACTGCAGTAGTTTGTTTATTATTTGTTCAATGAAACATGTTGCTTAAATTGTTTTAACAAAAACTTTATAAACTCTTTGGGTCTGTTGACTCAAACAAAATGTAAGTCTCTATGACAACGGTTGTCTGCTTCTTTATGTAATGCCAAAATGTGATAAATGTGAGTGATCTTAGCATGCTGTGGTGGTATGCGAGAGAAGTACTGATGATCTCCAGACAAGTTCTTTTCTCGGATATCTATAGGAGTGGGTCTCAGGGTTTGAGGGATGTGTCTGATTGGTTAGCGTTTTTGAAGAGAGAAAGTGTCTTTGATCATGGTAGTAGGAGGTTGCCAGAGAGTTGGTCTAAGAAATTATTTACCATTGACAGCCAATGTACATATTTGTGAATGGTTTAACTACGTAAGAGCACTATAAATCGCTAACGCTAGCACCTTAACGTTAATGGGGGAAAAAACTAAAAATCATCCAGTCGATCTGTTATGTTATGAATCACACCTTCCGTTCTGTTTGGCAAAATGTTAACGCCAGTGCACTCTCCAAGATGAGGTACAAATCCTGGAGTTGTGTTGACTGTGGCTGAATATAATTGTGTAGAAGAAAGGATTTGGGTATCATATATTTGAAGGTGCATTATGCAACTCATGTCGATTTGCAGTCAGCCCATATCAAAGCACCACCTTTTATTGTCTGCCATTCTTCCTCAGTGTGAATGATTGTCAGGTGTAGTAACCCATTCAGAGGCGAGCTACTTAAGTGCGAGCAAGCTGATTGGATGGAGTCAACAGAACCGCAGAATTCAAAGCTTGTACTCAGTAACTACCAACTCTGCCGTTCTGAAAATAAAAAATGTTTTCCTCCAGGTCTCAGACTGTTTTTTTTGTTGTTGTTGTTGTTGTGTTTCCTTATTTCATAATTCAATACAATGGCAATATTTCAATGCCACTGTGACACTGTAGTTCCAGACATATTTTTAGGAATAAAAATCCTTAGAATATAAACATTGACTCTAATTCCATAGTACAAAACAATTGCCAGCCCTTAAATTTTAATCCTCTTCTAAATTACTGAAGTAATCCAGACAACACTGTAATTTACTGACAAAACAAACTTTGCCATGTTTTGTGTGAAACATTTGGGTTTCTTTGAATGCTATCCATGTTCCAGCATAAAATGCAATTACCCTCCTTAGATTGATATATGATTTATGTCACTGTGTAGGTGAATGGTACTTTCCTTCATTAGTAATGATAAAAACATATGTTCTTTCTGGCAAATAGAAAATGCACCATGAAATCTCATTACCTATGCTGGGAGGATTTTCCTGTGCTATTTAATCCAAATAGGTCCTGTATAGAATCAATGGAAAGAAGGGTGGACCAATCAGGAACTGACAGTACCAAATAACCTTGGTCAGCATTGGCTTTTGAAGCCTCATCCCTACAGTACCTTCACAAAGTGTTAGGTCATAAATTACATTTAGTCATTACAATTATTCGGTATGCATGAATGCTAAATGTTTGATACAAGACCTTTTAATTAAACCACATGCTTTAGTCTAAGATGATATTCGCAAATGAAAAATTTGCATCTTTCAATGGATGGTCATGATTTGAACATAAAAAGCTGAATTATACATTATAAATAAACATGCAAGATGTTCCTCTGGGGAGCCATAACTTCAATTTACTGACAGCAATAGCTGTTGAGTAGCATTTGCTCAATTGTTTTCAGCTTCTGCTAATGCGGTGAACCATGCAACACAGTTTGCTTATTTGTGGTGTGACTGTGTTTCACGCAAGGGACACAGCAATTAAGATATCATTTTATTCATTATAAAGCAAGTAAACCACAAAAACATACATGTAAACTGTCACGCCCAGCATCCCTTCCCTCTCGTTCTCTCCCTCGTGGTTCTAACGAGCAACACCTGCTGCAGTATTTAATCTCGTTACAACCCTTGTGTGGATCACCCTACGTCTGCTCTCTCACATGCCCTATATAAAGCGTCCTTCAGTCCTGCGCTCCTCAGTCCGGTCATTGCTACCTGTGCCCCGTGCCCCTGCTTGATCCTCCCCTCCCCATTTGTGACCCCTTGTGGTCTGTTTCATTTGCCCTGTCCATTTTGTCGCTTCCTTGATTTCCCCCCAATGCCTGCCTTCTCCTCCGTCCTTGCCCTCGACAAGACATAAACCCACACGCACACATAGTATTTTATGTCAGAAATTTATAGGTGATTATCCACCCGTCCATCTTGGTCAGGGTCCTGGGGGGGACTTTGCAGCCTAATCCAAGAAGCGTAGGACACATGGCAGGAACAGACCTAGGACAGAATGCCAGTCCTTTGCAGGACACAATCACACACTGTGGGCATTCAGAGATGTCAGTTAAAGTTATCGCATGTCTTTAGACTGGGGAAGCAAACCCCACATCCAGGGGTAGAAAGTTCAGGTTCAGAAAGTACAACTCCAGACCATGGTTTTGTTTTGGCCAGCTAGTATAAAGAGTCACATTCACAGAGTACTGAAGTGGTTGGTTGAAATAAAATATTAGTCTGCATTTGTACTTTCTGAACCTGAACTTTCCACCTCTGCTCATTATAAACAAAGAGGAACAAGGAAACTCCACACATACACAGCACAGGCAGAACTCAATCCCCTAACCCTCGAGGTGTAATGCAACAGTGAACCACCATACCACCTATTAAAAAATGTACACTTATATATTTATTACAGTTTATAGTTCTTTATACAATGCGTATTATACAAAAAAGACTGTAATTATCATGAACCCTTCTGGGTTTGTCTCAGAAGAGCTATGAACATGATATGTTGTGGAATATGAGTATTTGTGGGTTTGGTGTGGATTAGCTTACATTGTGGACTTTAACCCTTAAGGGATCAGCCTTTCTGCTTGAAGGGAAAAGCCTTTATTGTTCAGTGGCATTTCGCAGGAAGCATTTCATCCAGCTATGGTGAAGCCCCATTCTTGAGTTCCCTTAGTTTTCGTTTCCTGTTGACGTCCAGCACTTTGTCTTAAGAGACATCGCGTTCAAGGCTACCCCCGCTTCCCATTACACCATGGTAAATCGACAATGTTGTTATTAAAATGATTTTATGTCAGTCTGTATGTTTACCAATACAGCTGATATTAACTAAACGCTTCAGAACTCAGCTGATTAAATGCAGTGAAAATTATGCCAGACAAAGAAAAAGGGTAAAGTACAAAGCTGTTTTTATGTAAAATACATGCATGTATTTGATGAGGTCTGCTAATATGTTGGGTATAAACCCGCCCTGTACAAACACTCAGTGGCCACTTCATTAGGTACACCTGCTTGTTAACACAAACAATCTGCTCCCCCAGACAGTAAATTATGTGATGGCACCAGGATATGCACAGTGGATGGAGAAGGTCAAGAGGTCCCTTTAATATTATTGTAAGTGATTTAAACATGGTGTGATTGCTGATGCCAGTAGTGGTGGTTCCAGAATCTTATATTGTCACACACTACAGTGTGTAGAGGTCATGGAACACATCCACGTTCAGGCAAAAAAGGCAAAGCAGCGTCTGTACCACCTCAGGCAGCTGAGGAGGTTTGGGGTCTCCCCCGCTGTCCTAAGGACTTTCTACTCCGGCGCTGTGGAGAGAATCCTCACTCATCCTGGTACGGCAACAGCTGCGCTTTGGACCAAAAAGCGCTTCAGAGAGTGATCCGTGCAGCAGAACGCTGCTGCAGGTCAGCCCTCCCTTCACTGCAGGTCATCTACACAAGCAGATGTAGATCCAGAGCCATAAGGATTGTAGAAGACCCCTCTCATCCTGGTAACAAACTATTTCAGCTTCTGCAATCAGGCAGAAGGTTCCGCAACATCGTGGCCAATACAAATAGACTCAGAAGGAGTTTCTATCCCCAGGCCGTTCGACTCCTCAATCAGGACACGTCCCTCTCTCTCTACACGGTATTATAGTATTATTATACTACTTTTATACTCAGAGTCTCATACTCGTTGTCATCATTCCATACAATGCACTTTAACCTTATAACTTATAACGGCATTTCGCACATCTGTAAATCTGTTTCAAATCCGTATTATATTCAAAGTTCTATTTTAATATTTTATCTATTTCTCCTTTCTATTTCCTTTCATATCCTTTGTAACAGTTGCCCAGTCAAAAGAGTGGTTCAGGATACATTTCACTGCATGTTGTACCTCTATGACAATGCATGTGACAATTAAAGAATCATGAATCTTGAAATAAATATTTATCAAAAGTCATAACACATTATAGCCATGTTTATTATGCATTATGAATGCTTTATAAAGCTCTCATTTATAATGAGCTATAAATACCTTTATAATGCATTATAATAGTTGGTATAAGCATTAAGGATGCTTTGGACTGCATTTTAAAGGTATTTATAGTGCATTATAGATGACAGATTCTATAATGCTATATGAATGCATTATTATTTGTTATGACTGTGTTTATAAGGTACTAAAAACATGGTCTTATGTAAAGTGTTACCAAAACAACCAGCTAGGGCCATCTCTGTTGCCAAAAACAGTGTTAATGAGGGAGGTCAGGGGAGAATGGTCAGACTTCTGAAAGCTGACAGGAGAGCCAGAAGCCAGCAATAACAGCCCAGTACAGAAGTGGTGTGCAGAAAGGCATTTCCAAATGGCCATCTCATGAAAGCTTCACTGTGGCTCTGGAGGCAGAAAGGGAGTCCTATCTGGTGACCACTGAGTGTGTATTTCTATGATGATATAAAGGTTTGCTGTCAGTTTAATTAAGGGAATGTTAAAATCTATCTATCTATCTATCTATCTATCTATCTATCTATCTCTCTCTCTATATATATATATATATTTTTTTTTTTTTTTTTTAGCTTTTTTAGTTATTTGTGGCACCACAATGGCACTGTGGCAACCCCTTCTGCTGGATTTCTGTAAACATGGCCATTGTTTCATTGTTGTTCTTCACTGGTGTTGTCTGGGTGGTGATTCTCTCAGATAAGACAGGCCCTTTTCCTGTTCCTATCAGTGATTTATTGGGTTTTTCCAAGGAAGTTGCTGTCGAGATTAACCACAGGCCCTACTGGTCCATGTTCTATGCAAAAAAAGAATGACAGAAAAAATATATATCTCTCTGATCTATGGATAAAAAAAATGACTAAATTATAATGAATGAGGAAAAAAACGTTTGGATCAAAGCTAAGGAGTATATGTGCAGCAATCGTTTCAGTCTCTTGATCACTGAAACCTCTGTTTAAAAGTTTCTCATTTGACCAGGCAAGAACAAAAGTATTGTTATAATCGTGTTTTCTATTTATTACAGTTCTGGATGTTGATATGGAACAATTATAAGTATCTCTGAGAATAAATTTTAATCTGGGATAAATTCACAGCATCCAGAAAAGGGATGGGTAGTATCAATGTTTTTTGAGCCAGTCTGATGTCACGCTACATTTAATGCTACAATAACAGGAAATGTTTAGCCATTTACTCTGGCTGGGCTCGTCTCTCTGTTATTTTTTTTCTTTTTCATTCTTTCTTTCTATCTTTTTTTTCTACTTCCTCGACAATATGTGCTTCCTCCAAATAAGATACGGCATCAAATGGTAACTTTGAGGAATTAATCGGAATAGCTGCTTCAGAACAGTTGTAGTGGAAAAATAAAAATGTGTACTTTGTTACAAACAGTTACCTCATTATTTATGAGATATAATAAATTATATGTTTTAAGTTTAAATACGTAGCTCTCATTTGGAAATTGTGCCCCATTCAGGATGCATGTCAGCTGGTAGAAAAGTCAGCAGCTAGGGGTGATTATGTTAGTTCACTTAGTAACATAGTTA